TATTGATACTGGGGGTTGCCTCATCCCAGGTGCAGGACCTTACACTTGGCCTTGTTGAACCTTGAGGTTCACACAGGCCCACCTCTCCAGCCTGCCCAGGTCCCTTTGGATGATATCTCGTCCTTCTGGCATGTCAACTGCACCACTCAGCTTGCTGTTGTCTGCAGACTTGCTGAGGGTGCACTCAATCCCACTGTCTATGTCATTGATGAAGATATTAAACAGCACTGGTCCCAGTACAGACCTCTGAGGGACTCCACTTGTCAGCAGTCTCCATGTGGACATTGAGCCGTTGACCACGACCCTCTGGATGCAGCCTTCCAGCCAATTCCTTATCCACCGAACAGTCCACCCATCAAGTCCGTATCTCCCCAATTTAGAGAGAGGATGTTGTGGGGGACTGTGTCAAAGGCTTTACAGAAGTCCAGATAGATGACATCCATTGCTCTTCCCTTGGAATTTTTTCAATTGGAAGAGTATTTGAAGGAAAGTATTAAATACGATTGCATTGTTCTTACAATTCCCTGTCATCACTGTTGGAGGTAGAATACTGGGCAGTATTCACTACTTGTCCATACTGCTGTGGCCTTTGGTTTCTTATCCGGTTGTTTGGACTAGTGAATTTGATATCCGAGATCTACTTTCATTCATATATAAATAAGTATATAGGGAGTTAGTATAAGTTTGTTTATATGTCTTTCGCTGTAGATAAACATTTTTTTGTGTGTGACTATAAATCCTGTTTGTTTTCCTTCCTTTCTTTCTTTCAGTATCATTTTATGGTGATAGCTTTGTGGAGCTGAACATGGCAGAAGCATCCTCTCAGACATCCTTACAGTTGCGGTTTCGAACAAGCAGGCCACATGGACTGCTTTTTCTTGCAGCTGGGAAGAAGGATTATTGTTTAATGGAGCTACGCTCAGGAAATTTACAGGTATGGTTTGTAACAATAGCTAAAAAGATATGTGTAGCCTGTGTTGTTTAGTGGTTTTCTTCAAGCTGTTGTCTATAACAATTTTCAAAGTTCATGTTTAAAAAAATGGAAAAATCACATAATGTAATTGATAATTTCAAAATATGGTATTTATTACTTACAATGATAGTTATTAAAATTGGCCTCTAAAAGCCTTTGAGATCTCTAGATCTTAAGATCATTGTGCTCAAAGCATGAGGTAAAGGCAAGATTTCAGTTTTGATGATGTTAGCATCATAGAAAACGTTTGGGTCCAAATAATAGTTTTTCTACAAGGTAAGTTCTTGAAAGATCATTGTCACTTGGGTTCTCAGGAGTTGTTGGTCCCAGCAGAATTGCAGAGGAGTCCATTCCCTCTTCTGCAACTATTCAGGTCATATATGTGATAGCAAGTAAACATACAGACAATTCTAGTGGGATTTTTTTTTTCAATTGTATTTTGCAAATTACATACTTTATAATATAAAAATTTATGAAAATTAATCTATTAACCATATATTAATATATGATTGTGAAAAATACCACTTTGGATTTTGATAGTTAAAATTCTGTCTCTTGCAGTTGAGAATTAACTTTGGCGTGGGGGAACAAGTACTGCATTCTCAGCAAAGATCTCAGCTGAATGATTTAGCTTGGCACCTGGTTGAACTACATCATGAACACGATAATGTCACATTGGTAATTGATAAACATGATAGAACAAGTACAAAAATGCCTGGAATTCTCTATGAATTAAATATTGATTATGGATTCTACGTAGGTGGTACTAGTAAACTTGATGTTCCCTATCTTGTTGGAGCACTGCCCAATTTCCGAGGATGTATTGATGATGTGTCATTCAATCAGCTAGACATTCTGATGCCTCTGAGACCTTATTCTGGAGTTAAAAATGTCCATGAAGTTTCAGTGGGATGCAGTGATGAATTCTTTGCAGGTGAAGATGAACCCATTAGTTTTTTCAGTTCCAGATCCTATGTTTCTTTCCCATCATGGAAGGCTGATGATGAGGGAATCCTGGAGTATACATTGCAAACCTCAGCAGCACGTGGCTTGCTGCTTTACCATCCTGGGCAAGCAGGAGATTTCATTGCAATGGAAATGGAGGATGGATTAATTAAAGCCTATGTTGGAAAACATAAAAGTAGAACCCAGCTTTCATCTCATAGGTCTGTCAATGATAGTCTTTGGCACTACATCGAACTGAAATTTACTGCAGAATATTTGCAGCTGACATTGGATGAAGAAACTGTGAAAAAATCATTGCCTCCCCGCAGCAAGCTGCCACTTCTGAAGGGGTCTCTCTTTGTAGGTGGTGTAGATGACAGCACACGATCCGAAGTGATTAAGTTAGCTCTAACTTCAGTGTCTGGGAAGTATGCCAGAGGAGGGTCCTTCAAAGGTTGCTTAAGAGATCTGAAAGCCAATTCAGAAAAGAAATCACTGAAGAATGTTCTGGTAACAAAGGACATTTCAGCTGGATGTGAAACAGAGAGTGCTTTTAATACAAATCTTTCTTTAGAGATGGCTGTAAGGAGCCCTACTGTGAAAGCTGCCCCAACATTTGCCATTTCCCCTGAAAGCTCTGTCTCTCTGGGCAAGGAAGACAAAAGCCACCTTTTGGTTCTAAGTAACTTGATTGTGCTAGAGGGCGGACAAGCTTCACTTGAATCTAAACATATTAAAGTCAACTTAGACTTTCAGAAATTAGGGATTCATCAGTCACAAATTCTTTTTGAAATAAAGGAACCACCCTCTTATGGAGACTTGAAACTAAATGTTGAACCAGCGCAGGAGGTAAATACATTTACTATGCAGGATGTGTGTCAAGGGAAGATTCTTTATGTCCATGATGGCTCTGAGGACACTTACGATTATTTTAATTTCTCCATTTCTACCAGCAGTGAGAAGACCGTGCCTCAATATTTGCAAGGAAATGAGCAGCATGTGTTTAGCATTGTTGTCACTCCAGTAAATGATGCGCCTGAGATCACACTTCCTGAGGGAAACTTGCTTCTTCTCTTAGAGAACTCAAAGAAACGTTTGACTAGTGATCTGATAAAAGTTCTAGATAAGGATACGGATCCTGTGGATCTCAGTCTTTCAGTGCTTGGAAATCTGAATGCAGATGCAGGATTTTTAGAAAATTCAAAGTATCCTGGAAAAGCTATTACTAATTTTTCTAACGAGGACTTAAGAGAAGGCACTGTTTTCTTTGTCCACACAGGCGTCAAGAACTCAAGGATTGTTCTGAGGGCGAGTGATGGTGAGAAAGTGAGCAACACTGTCGTGTTACGTGTCATGGCAGTTCCTTTGGATTACAGAGTTGTCAACAACTCAGGAATAAAACTACTCCAAGGTGTTACAGCTCTGATCACGCCTACACATCTGGCAGTTGAAACAAATGCCAACCTCCAGGAGCTGGAGATCCGGTACGAGATCACAGAGCCACCCCAGTTTGGGGAAGTCCAAAGGCAGCATTCAAGGGGGGAATGGAAGCAAGTCAACTCTTTTTCTCAACGCTCTGTTCAGCGCAGCCGTGTGAGATACTGTAGCACTTTTAAAAAAATTCAGCTGGAAAATGTTACTGACCAATTTAAATTCAAAGTTAGCATAGGAAACAGAATCAGTGAAGAGCATGTGTTTCCAATCAGAGTGAAATGGTTAAGATACATTTTATTGAAACATGCTCCTCTAGAAATTGAAAGATCAAAAAAGAAGTACTTGAATTCAGATAATCTTTTTGCTGTGATTGTGGATCTAGAAGTACCTGAAGATGATCTTCATTTTAAATTGCTGTCCCTACCAAAGAATGGACAAATACTGCTTAATGACCAGCCTTTGAAAAGAGATTCGGTCTTTAGCCAGAAAGATATTACTGATCAAAAAGTGGCATATGAATTAATCAGCAGGTACCATGAAGACAACCGTGATTCATTTAGATTCCTCATTTCTACAAAGTATTTGGAATCAAATTTATATGACTTTGAAGTCTACATCAAATCAGATTTCAGAAACATTATCTTGACTAACAATGGCCTAACTGTTGCTGAGGGTGAAGGAGAGTTAATAACAAGCACAAAATTGTTTGTGCAAACACCGGATAATAGAACTTTCCAGTATAAACTTATACAGTTTCCTAAGCATGGGAAATTAAAACTCATTCATTTGTCAGGCTTATTCAAGAGTAATGACAATCTCACCACTTTCACTAACAAAGATATAACTGATAAGCGCCTTATGTATGTGCATGATGATTCTGAAACAGCTTTTGATGAATTTCTTGTCAGAGCTTCTAGTGAAGAGTCAGGAAAATGGGCAAACTCTGATCCAGAAGTAGAACCTTTGTCAGTAGAAATTAGATTCAACATTTCTGTCCAGCTGAAGAATGATGAGAAACCAGTACGTGTAGTTGATAAGATATTTAACGTAGTGAGAAATGGGCAGCAATTATTAACTTTGGCAGATCTTTGCTATCATGATCCTGATTCTGATTTTGATGATGGACAGTTGCTGTATACTAGACGTGGCATTTCCAATGGGGACTTGGTGCTAACAAATGATACTTTGCACAGACTTTACCAGTTCAAACAAGCAGACCTGGAGCAAAAGCACGTCCTATTTATACACCGTGGTGCAGATTTTGGGCGTTTTGTGCTCTTTGTGACAGATGGCAAACACTATACCTCTTTGCTTCTAGAAGTTAATGCCTCTGATCCTTACGTTAGGTTGGCAAATAATACAGGCTTGTTGGTTCAAAAAGGAAAAGAAGAAACTGTTACAACAGCTAACTTAAGTGCTATTACAAACCAAGACATCAGAAATGATCATGAGATCATATATGAGATACTGTCTTTCCCAAAATATGGAAGACTATATGTAAATAATCTATTAATGGATTCCTTTACTCAACTTGATTTGATAAAGGGGTATGTGACCTACAGGCATGATGACAGCAACAACCTTATTGACACATTTAACTTTACGGTCCGTGCTAGAGATGTCCATCTGGATGCTGGAGTACATGTTCGCATGTATTTGGAAAGTCATCAGTGGCCACCAAGGATTGTGCACAAAAACAATCTCTTAGTTGAAGAAGGAAAACCAGTTAAAATCAGTAAAGGAAAACTGCAGGTAAGTTAACTGTGTTGTCCATTTCTCCAATCTTGTAGCAAATTTTCTTCAATGCTTTCTCAGCCATTGCAATGTCTTCAGTCTCTCTGTCTTCTCTTCTTTAACTCCTTTTGGTTTTCACTAACATGACTGCATTCTGGATGCTTAATTCTGGAGAGACCAACACGAGCAAGCTTCCATTTCTAGAAGGAAAGGGGTTATGTTAAAGAAAAAGACTTCCCATAGTCTTTTGACTCAGTTACATGTTGGTGCTTGAGAAAGTTAAGATTTGGAGATGCTGTGCTTGTATAATTGTTTTTGTTACGACAATTGGTTGTACTTAATATTCATGTATCATTCTTAGTTGAGCTGGTGGGAAATGCCAAGGAACAAGGGGTTTTGTTTCATTCACTTTGAAGCTAGCCCAATTAACACTGTCTAAGAATTGCATCCAAAATTTTAAAAACATCAAGTCAGAAACCTGAGGTTGTTTCTCTTTGGTTCATATTTTCCTCCCTATTGCTTGTGTGTAGCCTTTCAGTAACCACTGCGAGGGGGCTCTGGCAGCATGTGGCTGTGCTGCTGAAATCCTTGTTTTAGGCAGGGGTCTGCAGCGCTTAGGCTAGTAGTTAATTATACACTGTGTTCCTTTTCAAAATGTACAATTTTGGGGATACAAAACACTCCCACACCACATTATTTAACAAGTCTACTTAAAGTATTACTGTATTGTATTACGAATTTGCAGATATACCATGTAATCCAAACAAGGAATGCCAATTAATTAGGCAGACAATCCAAGGGTTAAAAGTGAAAAATTGAGAAGAGAACTAAAGACTTTCTCCCATTTCTGTTTAAATAATTTTAGGGTATGTTTTTAAATTTAAGGTCATTCATGAAAACAGTTCTCCATCTGAGATTGTGTTCACAGTAAGGCAGCTTCCAGTACATGGATACATTCGGAAGTTTTCATCAGAAGAAAGTTATCTTGGTGCTGACCAAAGGCCAGTTTTGAGCTTCACACAGCAAGATGTTGACGAGGGCAAAGTTCAGTATGTACAGACAGTTTCTGACCAACTAGATGACCATTTTTCTTTGGATGTGACCAATGGTGTCCGAACAGTGAGTGGAATAGAGATCTCTGTAGACATCATACCCAGAATGATTCCCCTGGAAGTACAGAACTTCACAGTAATTGAAGGGGGCTCAAAAGCCCTGGTGGAAGACTATCTAAAGATTTCAAGTAGACATTTTGCAGGACTCAGCTGCGAATTTATTGTAATTGAGCAGCCAAAACATGGGTATGTTGAAAACTCTCGTGTTCCTGGAATAAAGTTAACCATGTTTACCAGAAAACAGGTAATGCATTTAGATCTGCTTTGCTGTAGTCACAATTAATTCTTTGTATTGCTAAAAGCTAATTTTTGCCTGCCGTGGGACGATTTGGTGGGAGGTGGTAGGATGCACAAGTTTGATCTTTATTATGGCCTTGTACCGAAGATCTTTCTGCAGTTGCTAGCTGGTCATTTAGGGTGGGGAGGGAGGGTGTCTTGTTGTTGTGATGAACCACATCGCTACTTTCTGAGCCAGTGGTCACACAGACTAGTGTGCTATAATCACAGTAGACTGATGGGCCACTCATACTCAGGTAGAGTTGTTGATACTCTGGAAACCTGAGACAGACGGACTGTGGGTACATTTTGAAAAGACCAGAGGAAGTGGTGTGTAGATTGAACAAGGAGGAAAGTGGAAAAAAAATACTTTTTAGGCCATATCTTTGCTCACAGAGAGCCAGTATATGCATAATAAGCTAATTCTCAGTCTTTTAGCTCTAAGAAGAAAAACTCTGTCATAAGTCGCTATCTGTTAATACTATGTTCAGTTTATAGATTCCAGGAAACATTGTGGTAAATACAGTGGGATTGGATTTTCTATTTTCCCTTCAGAGAGAAGGGGGAATGCCAAGACTGGCAAGTTAATATATTCTGGCTAGAGGAATGGACAGATGAGCTGTAAAATTTGCTGTTGTGGACAGAACAAAGATAGAGGTACAGATCAGATATGAGCATAAATAAAGTCTTAGAAGTCATAAAAAATTGAGGCAATAGATACAGAGGGGCATGACTAGACTTCAATATTTTTATTTTTTTAATGTGGCATTCATTTTTCTTTTAGCCTCTTTAATTTTTCACGTTGTTACATTTTTCAGGTGGAACAAGAATTAATCTACTACGTTCATGATGACAGCGAGGAGCCAATGGACAATTTTACTGTGATAGTAAATAACACGGAATTGTGGAAACAAAGCTTGCCCCAAACTGTATTTGTAACAGTTACTGCAGTAAATGATGAAGCTCCTGTTATAAAAGTTAACAGAATTCTTCGGGTATGTTTGTTAACATTCTGAAATGTTAAAGTTATTTCTAACCTGATACCATTTAATACACCTTCATTAACAGAGCATTAGGTTTTTATCTGGCGGGATAGTCAATGCAATAAATAGTGGTCCTGAGATTTAAATAAATTAGTGTTAATGAAGGGAGGCAGTACATGGGTAATGTGTATTTAGGGAGATTCTAGTCATGATAGAGAACATTTTCTGCTGTTGTAAAGTTTATCTAGAAGGCTGACTGAACTTTCTTTTAATCTTAAAGATACATCAAGTCTCTTGGACTGACATAGGGCTTTTGGGGTGGGATGGCTTGCACCTGGGTCATTGTTGTGTTTTAGTGTTGTTTGCTTGTGCGTCTTGAGGGCTGTTAATGAACAGCGTAGCTTAGAAAAGTACCACAAGTAGTGATGATTAGGGTGCAAACATCTCACTGTTGTCTTTGCACAGACTTCAGACCCTGTGCCTCTTGCCATTAAGTGTACCAAAGGGTCAGCCTGCTGAGGTGCATTCTGGTGCCTGCTCCTCTCTGGATCCCCAGTGGGATGGGACAAGAGAAGAGAGCGGTATTCTCAGTGGCGTTTCATTAGAGAATTGACTGTGTTGGGTATTTCTGATACAAAACAGGAATGTTCCCTTCTTTAAAAGTTCCTGATAACAATAATACAATGCAGTCTGTGAAAATCTAGGCTGTTAGAGGTCATCAAAATATTAGTGCAGACACTGAAGCTTTTACTGCGTGATACTGTGAGCTAAAAAAAGGATATGCTAACTTGTTTCTAAGTTGCCCCCCCCCCCCAAAGTTCCTGAAGAAAATTTAAAAATTGTTGACTGATGCTACCTTTTGCTCTTAATAACCATAGCTGGCTTTTTAATCTTTAAATCTTCAAAAAAAGTCACTACTGTCACTTCAGTTTCAGTGCTTTTTCAGATTTATTTATTTATTTATAGGATTGTTATTTGTTTGTTTTATAATAGCGCTCACTACCCAGAACCAATTTATTATGGTCACTGTCCCCATGTAAACCAAAAAGCCCCCATGTGTAAAGGCTTCCAGTCTGAGATCTGATGAGTAAAACCAAATTAGGTGACTCTGAAAAGCAGAATGAAATGGATGTGGGACAGCTGATGAATGCGTGGTCACAGTAAACCAGCTGAAAGGCATCGAGACAGCGGAGATATTTAGGAATAGGTTTGAAAGAAGCTAAGCAGGGTATTTTGAGGCTACATCATCCCCAGTGCTGTATGATGCAGTTCACAAATTGGTGGCACCTAAAACATGCATTTAATTTTACAGATTTAGTTGTGTGTTGCAGAGGAAGAATGGATTACTGTAAAGATGATGATAACCTTGCATTGTGTATTTAGCCTTTTCACATGAGAAAAGACAAATTTTTAAACAGCAGTAGTGGCAGTATCGTGCAGCTTCGCAGTGACAGCAGGTAATCCATGATAATCTGCAGATGCCCACAACACAGGACACCCTGCCCTGTGCAAAGACTGCTGGCAGAAGGACAGATTCACTTCACAAGCATTTGGGGGGGATGGTACAGAGTAAAACCTTCCCTGATTAAAGTTAGAATTACAGTGGTACTCTACAGACATCAGCACAGCATGCAGTAATGTTTGTCCAGTCGTAGACAAGACGGGTATATGTCTAGTCAGAAATTTTTCTCTGTCTCCCTTCTGGTGCATTGCTGGCATTGAACTGCAGTCTGTTAACAGAACTGAGGCCATGCAGTGCACTGCAGTGCAGCATATGGATTTTTCTAAAAATATCTGTAAGTCTAGACTTCCCAAGAACAATGATAACACAGCTTAACCTAGCCAAAGTTGGTCCTCTCTGCTGGGGAGGCAGTTTGCATACCCAGAACCAAGTTGTTGCCTTTGTGCCTGTTGTTTTGCTGGTCATGTGTAAGCTATTGCTGAGAATCTTTATTTTTGTCATGAGTGGGTACTAATATGCACACATATGTTCGATTCATGTGCAGACTAAAACAAAGCTGGGAGTCGAGGTATATACTGGGAGGAATACACTGAGATGATCCTTCTTCAAAGCAAACTTGCACATCCCAAGTAGGTGGGAGAAAATGGGTTTTTCTTAGTCCTGCTAAATGTTGAGATGAGCTGGGCATTCCTGTATAGGCTGATACTTGCTGGCCCCATGTTCTGGCCAAGTAGTCTGCTCCTCAAGGACATTGCTGGTGGTGAATGTTGAGTAATAAACTGTGCGTTGCTTTTAAAAAGGCAGTAGCTCTTTTACATCTTTTGACAGGTTGGAAATGTACAAAATGTACAAAAAGTACAAAAGTATTAAATGAGGGACCAGTACTGTGAAAACAGACGTCCAGTAGGATCATTTGAGTTGGCTGAAGTTTAGCACCTCAGAAATTTTGCACATATCAATATAAAGAGTTAGAAAGAACTGCTGAACAATTAAAAATAAGTTAGCTTTTAACATCTGCTGTTGAGAAATAGCTTCTGCTATTATGTGCTGGGATGTTGGTGTGGATATATGGAAGTTAATTTTGGCCTTTGTCATGGGGCTTCTGGCCAAGTGCAAGAAACAGTTGAGCATGTGCACACATGCTGAATGAGTGTTTCAACTCCAGCTCCCTCACTTCTGAGGCACCCATAACATCCCTTCTTCAAACAACCTTGGCTGTTGTTATCAAGGTTATGAGTACCATCAAGGTTATGAACACCATAGGAGGAGTTTCAGGAGGACAAACAACCAAACATTTTGGGAGTGGTTTCTGATTTTTCTTTTTTTGGTGGGGTTTGGGGTTTTTTTGGCTGTGAATGTATGACAAACTCAAGTATGCATTAACATAACATATAAGATACAGAAAATTCTACTATCTTGAGAGCTTCTATAATGTATGCTAGTAATCTTTGCCTTTAATTTAAAGCCTTTCCATTAGAACAGTTAAGTGCATGAGGGATATGTTTATTTAGAAACAATACAGCACTTAAGGTATAGTTTCCTGAAATATCCACAGGTTCTATGATAATTTTTTTTTTCTGGGGTGGGAATGGGGAAGCGAAATAGGATATTTTTAAGAAAATCACTATCCTGGCATTATTTGCTGTGTTTATGTATGTGTTTAAATATATTTATGGGTAGTGGTGCTGTGAAATGACTGTATCCTCCTGTTGCCACAAGAGGGCGGTATTTTCCTAGAGTTAGATTTTTTTGAAACCAAGTGTTTTTTTTTTTCTTTAAATCACTCATTTAGCAGAGTATTAAAATGGCTGTGAATGTAGAGTGTCTGGTAGGATATGTAGCATGCAAGGAGATACTGATAAGCTGAATGCTGTAAGTATTGGATTATTTCCCAGTGGGCAGGGTCAGTGAACCTTTTTTTCGACCATGCCTGTGGAATGTTAGGCACATGCAAAATTAGCGTAATGCTACATCCTGGAAGTTCAGATGCAGTTTTCATGGTGCTGTTCAAGGAGGACTTGATCCCAGATGTGGAAAATAAGCCACTTGTACAGTATTTGCAGTATTCTGAGTGTCTGCTTCCCTACAGCCCTTTTCAGCTCTTGGATCTCCTTTCATTCTTCAAGGATTATGTTGCACGTCATGGAGCACCTCAGTACGTACAATACTTCAAAAAGCATTGTGTGCTAGTGTGCTGGATCAATAGAAATAAACACTGGCTTTATAGAAAAAAAGCTCTTTTTCCTTTAGTAAGAAAAAAAAGTCTGAAACTTGTGGGTATTTAATTAGTCATTTGTAATAACATGTTTGCATAGTCTGTCCTTATGTTTCTGACTATTCTGCATGTGACCTTTTATTTTCTGTGTAGAATAATCTGAATCAAGTGCTACTGAGATGAGGTAAAAGGTCTCAGTACAAAACCAGTGACACTGATGTGCTTATTTGGTGCTACTCAGTAAGTCAGCCTTTGCTATTAGTTATCATCCTGTGTGTTCACAGGTGGTGTCTTTTGTTGAACTTTGATAGTAGTAATAACATTACAGAGAAATGCATATTTCAAAGGAGAAAATAGCTATTTACTGGTTGCAAGATATTTTCTATTATAAAATGTAACACAACTTCTTTTTCAAACTTTTTTTCTAGTTAGAAAACACATACAGTTTCATTTTAGTATCTCTTTTTCCATGGTACATATTCTGTGACACAATGTAGTCTGAAATCTTTCCTCTATTGAAATGTCGTGGCAAAAATCCCAGTGGCTCTAACAGGGTTTCTTCCGTGGTTTTTATTAAAAAGCAAAATTAATACTTAGGGAAAAATTTGTGATAGCTGATTTTTTGTTTTGGCAGAGGTAAAATGCCCTTTGTCAAGGATCACGTTTCCTCTTGAACCATTTGGTGTGATGTTCTTACCAGATATTTGTTAAGTGTACTAAGACCCTAGGAGGACAGGAAGGGACGATGCAGTATGCGTTTTGAAGCTCAAGCTGAGGTTTTTAAAGGCTCAGGCTCTTAAGATTGTACGCTGTGTAAACTCTGCATGGAAGGAATTGGTATTGATGTATTGAGTGTTTAGGAATTTAATTTCATGTTGAGATAAATATGTATTGTTCTTTGTTAGTACTTTTGTCTGTAATTCCACACAAATACAGCAAAGATGATGAGTAAAATGGGCTATTGCTTATCATTTTCAAACAAGAAATGATCCAGTGAGTATGGATGAAGCTCAGATAGTAGTCCTTTCTGCTTGAAAGAAGGATCTCGCAGTTTGTGCATGTCTTAAGCTAAAAAAAAAAAAATGCATTTAGATTTACTAGAAGTAATGGGTTTTACACCATCTTTCCAAATACTAGTTGCTATTTTGTCTGGAAGCATGACCTTGCAAAGTGCTAAGCAGCTGTTGGAGGTGTTGATTCCTTCATCTCCCACTGGACCGAGCACCTCTGTGGGTTGTTTGGTGCACTAAAAAAGGGCCTTTAGTGTGTGTTGTTAGAAGGAGATAATGCAGCCAAAAGAAATGTTCCATTTGTATGAGAGATTATGTTGTCCCCAGGCTGTTTTTCTTTATTCTTTTCTGCTGGTGAAAGCAGAGCATATTGAATGCCTTGCCTGCTGTGAAGTACATGACAGTAATATTCATGTGTATGTGTTGGAAAGGAGCTCCTTGACTCAGTTATCAAAATACAATTTTGTTATGTTTGTAAGAGTTTGGATAGTGCCTGCCTGACAAATAGAGAACTCTTGCTGCAGCTGTCTAAAACTGAAACTGGTGTGGGGTGTGTTTGCTTGTCTTATTTCATGGTCTTGTTTTTTGAAAACCATTTGCCAACATTAACTATTCTAGTCCATGATCAGATATTTGAATGGACAGTAAGGAAACCTGTCATAGCTGCTAGTGTTGCACAGCACAAATCTGTATCCTTTTTTTTTCTTTGGAGGTTTCCCACCCCCTGATTTTCTTTTGTATGCATTTTCTTTATTATTACTATTTTTTTTTTATTTATTTTTGCTTTTCTAGGTCTGGGTGGGTTCAGTCACAGAAATAACTATTGATGACCTCTGTGCAGAAGACAAGGACTCCTCACCATCTGAACTGATATATTCCGTTAGTCCACCTAGCAATGGGCACTTGGCTCTGAAGTCTTCTCCAAACAAGACCATCCTTAGTTTTACCCAAGCTCATATAACTGAAGGGCAGCTGGTATTTGTACACAATGGTATGTGGTTTCAAAAATACCGCTTATGTTACCAAAATACTGTTCCTATTTAGTATATTTGTGTTTGTAATGCCTTGAAGATCTCCTTGTAATGTCACAAAAATCTCAGCACCAGTTATAGAATCACGGAATCATAGAATTGTTTAGGTTGGAAAAGACCTTTAAGATCATCAAGTCTAACGATTAACCTGACACAACCAAGTCCACCACTAAACCAATTCAGGGTAGAGTAATAATTTCATGTTTCCTGGCTTGGCGGCTGGATTATTTTTTAATGAAAGTAAGAACTAGGAATCATTAAAGTTGGAAACGATCTCTAAGATCATCAGTCCAACTGTCAACCCAACACCACCATGCCCACTAAACCATGTCCCCAAGTGCCATACCTACCCGTTTTTTGAACACTTCCAGGGATGGTGACTCCACCACCTCTCTGGGCAGCCTGTTCCAATGCTTGACTACCCTTTCCATGAAGAATTTTTCCTAATATCCAATCTAAACCTCCCCTGGTGCAGCTTGAGCCCATTTCCTCTTGTCCTATTGCTAACTACATGGGAGAAGAGACCAACACCCACCTCACTACAACCTCCTTTCAGGTAGTTGCAGAGAGCAATAAGGTCTCCCCTCAGCCTCCTCTTCTCCAGACTAAACAACCCCACTTCCCTCAGCGGCTCCTCATAAGACTTGTTCTCCAGACCCTTCACCGGCTTCGTTGCCCTTCTCCAGACATGCTCCAGCACCTCAATGTTTTTCTTGTATTGAGGGTCCCAAAACTGGACACAGTATTCAAGGTGTGGCCTCACCAGTGCTGAGTACAGGGGGAAAATCACTTCCCTGCTTCTGCACTATTCCTGATACAAGCCAGGATGCTGTTGGCCGCCTTGGCCACCTGGGCACACTGCTGGCTCATGTTCAGCCAGCTGTCTACCAACACCCCCAGGTCCTTTTTGGCCAGGCAGCTTTCCAGCCACTCTTCCCCAAGTCTGTAGCCTTGCATGGGGTTGTTGTGACCGAAGTGCAGGACCTGGCACTTGGCCTTGTTGAACCTCATACAACTGGCCTTGGCGCATCGATCCAGCCTGTCCTAGTCCCTCTTCAGGGCCTTTCTACCCTCGAGCAGATAGACACTCCCACCCAGTTTGGTGTCATCAGCAATCTTACTGAGGGCGCACTCAATCCCCTCATCCAGATCATTGATAAAGATATTAAACAAGACTGGCCCCAGAACTGAGCCCTGGGGAATGCCACTTGTGACCAGTCGCCAACTGGACTTACCTCCATTCACCACAACTCTCTGGACTCAGTCACTCAGCCAGTTTTTTATCCAGAGAAGAGCACGCCCGTCCAAGCCATGAGCTGCCAGCTCCCTTAGGAGGATGCTG